ATGAGATGCTCTTTCACACAAAAAAAACTCTAAATATATTGACAGAGTCTGGACCGAGAAATCTTAGACAGAAAACGAGCTATTTTTGACCTTGCTTTGGTTCATATCTCTGTCAAACATCAGCGTATCGAGCTGAAAATTTTATCACAGCCTCCTCACTTCAGTCCCAGCATATGCTTCAAATCCCAGCCCATTTGAACGTACCTGGGCTGAGATCGATTTTTGAGGGGGAGGGGGCCTTAATGATTTTTGATTCATTTTTAATATATAGGAAATTTCGACTTTTTCAAGGATTCCAAGGTTTCGGAAACCTTACATGCAAACGGTGTGGGTTCATACTGGGTTGAGTTAGATGATATTTTGTTTATTATTATTATTATTAGAGTACCTTTTTATTATAATTTTTTAAGGATTCCAAGAATTCCAACGGTGAGTCCGTTAGTATTACAAATGTCATGCTTAGAATATAAAATAGGTTTTTTTTTTGAGTTTCCTAGTCCTTCACTTATTGGATTCGATATTGAATTTTTGTACTCGATGATTCCACATATCGACGACATAGAGATTGCCGTCTCGATCGAATGACAAACCGATGGGCCTATTGAGTTGGTTCGATTGTTCTCCACCACCGTTTCCACCAACAATGACACTTCCTTGTGTGGCTCCTTTGGACCAACGCATGATTCGATTATTGTCGAAATCAGCCACATAGACAGTGCCCAATTGATCGACAACGACTCCTTCAGTATAATACAATTGTTTAAGACCATTTGCTTGTCCTTGACGACCAGCCACGACAATGCCTTGTTTTTCACCTTCCATCCATTTCATCACACGATCATTTCCCAAATCAGACACATATACTGAATGATCTCGATCGACGAATACGTATTGTGGGTAAGAGAGTTGATCGAGACGATTTCCACTTCCATTGCCACCTGCAACCACTGTTCCTTCCGATTCTCCTCTTCGATATCGTCTCACTTCATGTTTTCCATAGTCAACGACATAAAGTGATCCATTCTCATCCATTGTCAAACCCACACAATCGATGTTGGAGATGATTGTTTCTCCACTTGTTCCATTTCGACGAGACCATCGAACCACTCTTCTATTTAAATTATCGGAGATAATGAGACTATCTCTCTCTTTGTCAACAATCACATCTCTTGGGTTAGATAATTGATGATCTCCACTTCCTTCTCCATTTCCACCTGCAACTACTTGGCCACTCGTTGCACCCCATGGCCATTCCACAATACGGTGACTCAATTGATCAGCAACATAGATTGTTTGATCATCATCAACATACAAACCCAATGGGTTTGAGAGTTGATTGATTCCATTGCCTTCTCCATTTCCTCCAGCTACAGTGATACCATTCTGTTGCCATCGAGCATTTGGATGAATGTCAATGGAACTTGCACGTAATGGGACAAAAGCTGCAGAAAAACAAACATTCTTAGTCATATTCTATCTCCATAATGCAAAAGGTATTAGTTGATATTTCTACTTGGAGAACGGAAGAATAGTAGCGGTTTCTTTCTTCTCTGAGCGCAGCTTCGATTTTTTAAAACATGTACTAATACTGAATAGTCTGTTGTTGGAGAATTTCTAATGCGTTAGTTCTGAGAGAGATAATATAGTAATGCAACGTTGAGTATTAGTTTGTTTGACACTGATAACATATACAAGAGTTTCAAAACAGTAAAAAGTTCTTTTTGTAAATTAGATTTACTTAAAATGAATTAAGATCAACTTAGTTTGTTTTCGCAATGCCTTCTGCTCGGTGATATTACTGGAAAGGTTGTAGCCTTATCATTCGGATTTTTTATTTAACTGTTACTGTGAAAAGTTAGTTTATCTTCTTTATGAATGAGTAGACTATCTTGTTTTAACTCATTAATATTTTCTGTTGTTGATTCTTTGAACCTTACTAAGCATTTGGAAATCAGTATTATCGATCGGTGAAAATTCATCCTCCTTCGTAAGCTATCCACAATTGTAGCTGTCAATAGAATAGAACGAAGAAAATGGGTGTGATTTTGCATATTATTCGTTGATGAACATCAATATTGTTAAAATTTGTAAGTAAATAGTGTCCTTAAAAGAACTCACAAGGGTGTGGGTGTTAGCCTTCTTTTCAACCACACTCACACCCTCTGTTTCCTGTTCTTATCCATATTCTATACTCGGTCTTATAGAGAATTCTGTTGCTTGAAATGATCAACTATCTCATTTAAAATTCATGTAGATCGACTCATATAGCACCCAACAGAATAGATAGTATAGAAGATGCAATTGAAATTGTTTATGCGGTCATTTCAGATTTATAAAAGCAAAAATGAATATTTAACTTAATTTGTAATATAGAAATTTTCTATTTTAATTTTTCAAACTTTGGTAATTTTTATAGCTTAACAATATCAAATGATTCACAATAAAAATATAAATAAAACAAAAAATTTTCTATCTAGCCTCTTCTAGAAATGAAAGTACAGCTCTGTAGTTATCAAATCCATGAATGTCAACAATAAAATTTGTTAAGCTTTTGATTTATTTATTTGTCATTTCTTTACATGATTTTAAAATTTCTAACAATAAATCTCAAATTTCTTACGATCAGAATTAATGACTTTTACACTTAGACTTCATTGAAGGTCACACTAATAAAGTTTTTGGGAAAAATATACGGAGATCTTATTACGTAGTACAGCATAAGTCGAGAATCAGTTTCTAACCATTAATCTTCATAGATCTTCATAGAATTTCGACTTTGCGTTAAAACTTAAACGATTCTATATTGCATGTGAAGAAAACACTCACACCCTTAGTCTACTATAGTTTTATTGTAAATGAGTCATTATCGATAATATTTGTTCTTTTTTACAAGACTATGTAAGTGAGCTATTTATAACTACATAAGTTATGATCAATATTTCTTTGTTAATTCAGTGAAATCAGTTTAATCTTAGAAAAACGTATAAAAACGAATAGTCTCGGTCAGAATTAAAATAATTAAATCAAAATAAGTTTTTTTCAAATCATTGAAAACGTATTGTAACACTTATCTGATTGATGTATTTTAAAATGACTTTTATCTGATTTTCTGTAACAAATTCTGAAATTGTCTAGCTTTATCAAATAATGAACATCAAATGCTATTTTCAGAATAAGAGGTCTAACACTTGTGTTGTTGTTGTTGATCTAGTTAGTTGAAGAAACAATTAAAATTTGGTCACCGACACTGCATTGTTTCTTCGGATTGTGTGATATGAAAACTAAGTGATCACAATCATATGTCGAGAGTCCAACATTTGAATATTGAGAAATCATACTTTTTCTCATTTTTCGAACATTAGCCGGTTAAAATGTCTTTGTCAGAACTAATTGATTTCTGATGTAATTGTGTAATTCCAAGTTGAAACAAGTTTTATACGACTGCAAACTTCCCTCTATTTTGCGAGTAAGATTCTCGATGTGTAGCTAGTTTCTTGCAATTCAAATTGAGTTTTAGGAGATTCATCAGTTTCCTTAAGGTTTAAAGGATATTTGGCATATTCTAGAAAACAGTATGTGTAACAGATTTACAACAATTCATTGTTTCACTGTAGTGCTGCTGTAATCTGTTCTAGAAATCAGGTGAACAAAATTTTAATTATTTTTTTCTATTTTTAGTTTAGCTACGTGAAAAAGAAGGTCTTAATTCAGTCATTAGTATTTTGCTCACTCAGAGCACAAAATAGTGGGCAATAGATTTCATCGAAAGAATTTGAAATGTTTTCTATTTGTGTACTTTGTGAAGAAAGATGGCAATTGAAAACAATAAAGTCTAGATTGTAGCCTAGATGCTACTTGTATATATTGTTTTAAATTATGTTTATGCTATCTACATGGAATTTTCCATCACATGTATATTCGAATATTTTTTAACGTATTTCGATGAGTTATTTGTTTTTAATAAATTCTGCCTACATGATGTACTCTTATTCTTTCTAAGAAACTAAAGAGTAGTTATCTTCGATCTTCGTGAGGAAAGTTGTGAATGAAACTATTTTATGTAAGCAGACAGTATCTGTAGTAATATCAAAGGAAGAGAAAGAATGAATTGCATTTTATAGAAATAAATAAAATAAAGGCGGCTTTCATAGTGATCAAAAGAAAGTTAATATTGGGAATTATTATTATTTCATTTTTCCTCAAGAATCTTATCCATTTAGGTTCAAGTTAGACATAGAGCATTACGGAATAGACAGAAACAATCTATATTTGGTTCAAAGGTAGTATCTAACAAGATCAAGAAATCCTTATCTAAAACTTACCTGATTGTAAAACATTGGCTTTAGTTGTAGTTGTAGTTGTAATATTGGTTGCTATTCATCAATATAAAATATTTATGTAGACAAAGCAGATACTTTTACACCTGACACAAAATGTTAATTTACTTGGTGTATTTTAGATTTAGATAAAGACTAGATAAAGCTTTAGAATAAAACAATGACATCCGATAGTTTGAAAAGGGAAGCTTTCTTTTCAAAAACTAATTTTGGTAATCATTAGAGATTACATGAAAGTCGTAATTTCGACGATTCGACCTTATGCAACTCGTCTGAGTTCAATCTACCAAGTTTGGTTAGACTCATCATGTGTGCTGTGTTGATTAGAAAAAGTCGTGAGAACAGAGTTGTAATCCGTACAATAATAAAGATATCGTCTTTTTAGAGCATCATATGAAATATTTGTTTCCTTTATATTACGCGTTCTGATCAAAATCATTGGTTCTGTTGTATTTTCTAATACAAGCAAAGGTTTAGATGCATTGGATACCATTACAATACAAGATTAATATTCTAAGTATCGTTTAGTAAAAGAGTAGTCGAATGAATTTAATATTCACAAAAATTAAAACATTTGATATGATATACAGAGTCGATTAGCATCAAATCGAATTATTTTAGAACTCAAATGTAGTGAATAAGAAGAGAAGAAACCTATCCTTCGTTACTTAACAGTCATTTCGTTTCTGGCATACTTTATCTAGTTTTTCCAAAGCTTCATTGAGTTTTTATCATCGTTGTCACATTTCTATGAACTGCAGATGTGAAGATAGGTGAAAGACGAAGAAATATCTTTAAGCAAGATTTTAGCTCCACTTAAGCCGATCGATGACTGTTTCTTCTTCTTACTTGTTATTGGTGGACATGTTGCTTCATCAATCATTGATATTGGATAACAAACAGGAAGATTACGACATCGAGGATGATAAACACAGGTATGGTCTGGTTCGTTACAATAATAATTAGGTGGTTCGCAGGAAACTAGTTTAGAGCAAGTCATGTATTGGAAGCCACACAAACCGACGTTAGCAGCACCTGCCATATGAAAACAGGCGCAGGCAGGATTTGATGAACATCGGTCATACTGAGCTAACCCATGGCATAGTTGAGATTTCACGCGTGCTAACAATATAACTAATTAATAGCAGAATGTTTAAAATGAAACAAGAAAGTCAAACCTGTGAGGCTGAAAAGAAAGATTGTTCAACATTAAATATCTCAGAAAATAATAAATTTTACAATTACCTGAATAGAACAAGTACGAAAAAATGAGTTGTCATCGAGATCATAGCTTGTATTGAAATGAAACAGAATAGTATCGATACCCATTTTTATATCTAATGAATAGATTCATATTTTATCGCATTCGCGGAAAGTTAAGAGGCAGATAACATAATCTCGCAATCGATAGAAAATCGATATGATTCTAACGCCTAACTAATTTATTTTTCTCATAAAAAAAGGCTTTATAGAAGATAAAGTGCCATTAAAGAAATATGAAATTGTTTTTGAAATACGAGCAATCAACAGGTTGATACCATTACTTTAAATACGAATATTACTTGTTTTTTTCAATTATTCATTTACTTGAAGCTAAATTAAATCAATTCCAAAGACCATTTTTTTGGTAAAAATATTTGTAGTTCTTACTGTAAATAGTTTAAAGAATTTAACTTATTAATACAATAAAAGTCGCAATTTATCACCAGTCACACTCATTTGTACTTTGTATAGCATTTTCATGACATCTCAGGCATTGCTTTGTTTGATTTTCATTTTCAAATCTTATTTGTAACGTAGTCATATTCAGTTTAAAAAGCATCTTTGAACTTTCGATCGCAAAACCGTTTGCTTAACTCTAAAGGAAACGATATCCAGTCTTCTTCCTATCCTCCTTTCAGATTGGTCATTTGCCTAATTAAGAATCTTTCCATTTGTGCTGCCATCACGTTATAGTCAGCATGAGAGAATTTTCTATAATATGAATCTTGAGGGTGTGGGTGTGGGTGTCGGTGTGGGTGTATATATTCATCAATATCCACCCACACCCCACCCATACCCACACCCACACCACACACCCATCCACACCCACACCCACACCCACACCCATACCCACACCCACACCCATACCCA